CCCGAAGCTAACCCGGGGTGCGCGCGCAGCTTCCGGCGCCATGGCGGAGCTGGACCCGCTGCTGTCGAGCTTCCAGAGCCAGCTCTCGGAGGTGATGGAGGCCGTGGTGCGGGGCGCCGTGCTGGAGGTGACCCGGCTGGTGGAGGACGTGTTCCTGCGGGAGGTGAGGCGCAGGAGGCGGGAGGCGGAGTCCCTGAGGAGGCGCCTGCGGTGGACGGAGGCCGGGAGGGACATTCCGGAGGAGAGCCTCCAGGACCAGGACCCCCCGGGAGGTGAGAGCTAGTGATGGCAAGATGAAGCTTCATCAGAATCAGAATCAAAATCAGGTTTATTGCCAAGTAGGTTTTCAGACTTACAAGGAATTTGCTTTTTTGGTGTTTAGTGCACAACACAACACTTCTATGAGAAGCAAGAATAAAAAGTAGAAATAAAGATATAGGGCAGAATGATAAAACTGAAAAATACAATCTTTAAAAGTATAAATCTGAATGTACAAATTAACAATCTTTAAAAATATAGATTTGAATGTGCAAATTAACAATTGAAATGTGCAATTGTTAATTTGCACATTCAAATCTATATTTTTAAAGATTGTTAATTTGTACATTCAGATTTATACTTTTAAAGATTGTATTTTTCAGTTTTATCATTCTGCCCTATATCTTTATTTTTACTTTTTATTCTTGCTTCTCATAGAGGTGTTGTGTTGTGCACTAAACACCAAGGCAAATTCCTTGTAAGTCTGAAAACCTACTTGGCAATAAACCTGATTCTGATTCTGATTCTGATTCTGATGAATCCATTTTTTCACCGAGATTAACTAACTGCAGAGTCATAGATTTTATAGCACTTCAAATTGTAGTGTGGCCTTCAGCTTAGTTGTATGAAAGGCGACAAAAACCCAGCATATTCATTTCTAAAATCCTCCCCAAAAATGGCTTCCATTTCAAAACCGCTTTGGGTTAAGTCGAAACAGAGTCAAACTAAATGGACTCAAGTTGACTGATTTTGATGAACAAAAAAAAACAACAAACTACGTGTAACAAGGTTAAAAAATGATCAGTTTCATGGTTTAAAAAGTATTAATAATTTAGTTTAAGTTGTATAAGTAGATTTCATTTATGTGTTAATGTGTTTAAAATTGTTTAAAAGTATAAGAGTAAGTTAAAAGAGGTATTTTTGCAATATTGTTAATGTATTTTATTTTGAAGGTCTAAGGGAAGTGATGTGCATGTGTACTACTTTCACTTGTTTACTTCTGTATTGACGTGAGACGTGACCGGATGTAGGGGAGAGTCCATGATGTTTGTTGGGTTAGCGCGAATAAAACGACGAAGGGAAGCATGTTGGATATGTGAGTGGTTATAATAGAGTTCCTGGACTGTTAAATCAATAGTCGCTGACGGAAACCTGTTTTGCCACTTTTTCGATGAATGCGTGGTTGTTTTCAGACCGAGGACAAACACTGGAATATAACCGAGTGAGCTCCGTTTTTTTAGCATTCGCTAGCCCAGTGAATGCTCCGCGTGTGTGACTGGCGAAGTCAACCCGACGGAAAGAAAAGTATTTATGTTCCCGGTTTGGGGCATGGACGTTTCCGGTAAGGAGCAAATATGTTTGACGAGTGACATATGTGGATTAATGTTTTCCCGGAGTCGGAGAGGAGCTGAGGAGAAAAAGCGGACACGTGTGGCTATCAGGAGGCCCGTGAGTGTGACCCACGCCATCTTGGAAACCCCACGTTTGTTCAACGCTGTGTGAACGTCAGTAAAAGTGTGTGAAAGAAAAAAAGTAAAGGTACCTCATCGCTCTCAACTCATCCAACAGGCCTGCAACGAGTGGGGGTTCAGTATAGGACATTTGATCATTTGATTTGGTTGTTGATTGTTTAAATCTGTGCTATTGTTAATTAAATTCAAGGTTTATTCTTTCATATCTGTTTGATTATTTCCATTGTTGTGTATATGTGTATTTGAGGCTATCATCACAAGGTAAGATGGTGTAACTTTA